CTGGTATGGAATTGCTAAATATGCAAAACCAAGAAAATGAACACATGCTCAAGTTGAATTGAAGCTATTCAGGAGATTTTGACTTCATCACCATTAGACGTCAAACCAACCATCTCTCTCACACTTTATGAGATACAGTACATTAACCGGGTTTCTAGACCCTTAGATTTATTTATTCTAATTGTGCTGTGATTTGTTAGTACTCACAGCTTCATTTTAGGTGTTTTGTTTCACTTTTATTTAATCTTGAAATTAAGTTTAACATGAAAAAACATTAACATTATTCCTTGTCTTTATTAGGATGATCTCAAAGCTCATATAAACTCTTGCAAGTATAGCTAATTCATGCATACTAGTCTGTGTTGTTTAAATATTGTATTGCAAATATCTTAACAAAAGGTAGAATGAAAGATGCTCTGGAAAAGGTGTCCCACCAATCCTTGAATTTAACAATACATGTAAAATATCACTTACTACTTAATGTTCATTTTATTGTACATGCTAAGGATTGAAAAATTTATCCTTTCAATTAAACACGAGAATTCTATTTTAGTCAATGTTACACTAAAAACTAAAATTGGTTGTGTTTTGTGTTGCTTTTATTTTATTACTCATTTATTTTTATTTCATTTTATAATTGAATGGAACAAGTTGATATACAGTAAAAATTATGTGAATGTATTTCTTGTATTTTTTTTTTCAGTATTGTGCTTGCATGAAGTCATGAAAACATAAATTAATAAACAATTAATAAATAATTATTAGGTTTATTGAATTACAAATAATTTAAAACTGGTGATGTGATCAGTAAATCTTTATGGGTCGTCTGTGTTTCTCAGACCATCCGTGGGACTGTTAAGATGAAAAAGACACTGTACACAAAATATTCCATATTTCCAAGCACTGTTATAAATGGCTAGAAAAAGATTATTCATCAAAATGCAGCCGGCAGGGTAGTCAAATATTTACATGGATATATTACAGCCAGAAACGACATACACATTCAGTGACATGAAATCAAATTATAGCCCTCCCATTTCAGTTACAACAATCACATACAGCATTTGTGCTTAAAATGACTTCATCATCATCATCATAATCCATCAAAGAAAATTAATATTAGGCACATATCCTAAAATTATTCACAAATTATTTACACAGTGTGCACACAACTTATTGGCAGTGCTGACAGCATTACAGAGCTACGATATTTGGCTTCCATTTGAAATCCACGATGATTTTGCATAGGAGCGATGACTGACAGGAATCACACTGGAGTGAAATAAAAGCAATGGTGTAACTAAAACCCTGCAGTGCCATACAAACAGCATTCGACAATGTAAAAAAGGAGAAAACACTGAATAGCCCCATATATTATGCTTTCCCATGCAGTGAAACTCACTATCCATCCAAATAATGTTCCTTTATAGAGAATCCAAGATAAAAGTGTATGTACAAATCCTCCAGAAGCATCCTTGCATTACAAAGCAGCAAATACAGTATATTATTGATCCAATGACTATGTGGACGTTTCTTAAACTTTCACATTGACTGCAAGATATGTACATGAAAAAGGCCCAAATGGTCAATGAGGTTTACTCATGCACCAAATTATGAACAATTTCTCACTGTGCTTTTGCCAAGATGTGTTGAGACGGTCTTTAAGCACCAAGCAAAGCCTTGCGGCTGACCCACTCAAGATGAACTGTGCCAGTAGTGATCATATGTATTTCACGTATAATGAGGATCGAGTGTGTAAAACGTCCCTTTAACTGTGTCACAACACACAAAAAAATTTGAATTTCAAAACAGATGGAGGTTACAGTCGCTCCCTTTATCCACCTCCTCTTATCTAAACCACACATATTGTACCTCTGATATGATATGATGACTGTGAGGCTGTTTATTTTAGGCAAATTCAAAGGACTAGTGCAGAGCCCTATAGTTCAATTACGAACTGTAATAAAATCTGCATTTTTCGGAAGTATAAAACATAGTGCCGTTTTTTTCTTTACAAAATGGAGTAAGGCACCAGATTCCCTTCAGCACCAAAAGCCGAGCGCGATCGAGTGTAAAAAATAGATAGATAGGCTTTGTGCTACAGTAGAACACTGAAACATGCGGTCAGCAGTTAAGGAACGGGTGGTTTAACAAAAAATGCAGAAGGGCAAAACAAAAGCACGAGGTATTTTTTTCCCAATCGTCACAATAAATAAGTCCAAAATCATAAGTGTAGCACCATGCTATTTCATCTGTATACTTACCATGTAAAACATGAAACGATGGTCAGCATTCGATCAAGCTGGTTTTGTAAAACAAGTCCATCAATACAGGGAAAGTCAATGAGGAAGGAGATGCTGACACCAAGATGGTAGTCTCAGATCCAAGATGTAATTCCTCCGTTTCACCAGTAGAGGGTAAGACAAACGAGCATTGCATTGTTTGCAAAAGTTTCTGCGACAGTTACGGTGCGATCACATTTACAGAAGTTCTGCGAATTTTTGTAGGTGAAATGATCCAGTCATTTCAATAGGAATCCATGAAATCGGGAATTTCGTGTGAGGGCGAAAAATGTATCCATGCAGATTTTGCAGTGGATTCAGGTTGGTCACACGGATTCACCGTTTGGTTTGAAAGTGAATTGTGTGAGCTGTGTTTCATACATCGCTACATTATTGACGACAGATAATGAACCTTTTTTGTCCATAAAATTTGGCTAACGTGACCGCACTTTTACTTTTGAGGTAAAAATTGGGACAAAGCACTTTCTTCTGATTTTGTTGTATAATTTGTTTACAAATCACACTGATGATTTACACGAGGCAGCTATAAGTACCGTTGAGTTTTGGCGTATATATATATTTATATATATTTTTATATATATCTTTTTATATGTGAAGCATCATTCTTTATTTGGGTTACCTGCACCCGTAGATGTGATGTAATGACTGGCATTAGAGTCGAGGAATTAAATGGCAGAACGGATCAGGCTGGATCATAGTGTGGACTCCAGCGAAGAGTCCAGGATATCGTCATGGTGACTGTTGCTATTGGAGTCGCTGTCGTAGCTCTGCGGGCTGGAGCAGCTGGCCGCCTCTTTTAGACGCAGGAGCATGTTCATCTGTTCACACAATACACAAAAATAACAGTCAGGCCAGATGTCTTAATATATATTCGAGAAGAAATCTGAGCTATTATACACGTTTTTCAAATTTGAAGTATATAGAAAATACTTAATCTAGAACATACTATTTTGTTCTCCTACATTTTTCTCTTGCTTTAGTACAGGGGTCTCCAAACTCGGTCCTGGAGGGCCGGTGTCCTGCAGAGTTTAGCTCCAACTTGCCTCAACACATCTGCCTGGAAGTTTCTAGTATGCCTAGTAAAGCCCTATTCAACTGGTAATTGTTTCTCAGGGGGACGCAAGTGATTTTCACCATTTACAGGGGGTAGTTGGTGATTTTAATGCCGTCCGATTCCAGGATGTCGGTGTTTTTCTCTCACCACCCCTGTCAAAATCCCCGGCCGATGTAAATAAAATTAATTTTATTTACAGCAGACAATTATGTGACTGGTCACGTGAGCAGCGCGTTCCCGGGTTCATAGGATCACAGAACTCACTCCTCCTCTGTGAATAGATCGCATCCGAATCCATGAGTTTTATCATTGAGGTGATATGTAAATTTATTTTTACAGACGTCCATATAAGAAACAATTACCGCCCGAATCGGGTTTAAGACCTTGATTAGCTGGTTCAGGTGTGTTTGATTAGTTGGAGAAAAACTCTGCAAGACACCGGCCCTCCAGGACAGAGTTTGGAGACCCCTGCTTTAGTAGATAGAGGTGCATTAAGAGGTGATCTAAGTTTTTATGCCCTTATGACCTTATGCCACAGGACCTTATGCCTTATGACCTTATTTCTGTAGGGTAAAGTCACCCCCAAAATCCCATGTCAGCATGTATCATTTTTTTCTCCATTCAACTCACTTACTGACACCTACTGGTTTGAATGTATACTTACAGTGGGTACGGAAAGTATTCAGACCCCCTTAAATTTTTCACTCTTTGTTATATTGCAGCCATTTGCTAAAATCATTTAAGTAAATTTTTTTTCCTCATTAATGTACACACAGCACCCCATATTGACAGAAAAACACAGAATTGTTGACATTTTTGCAAATTTATTAAAAAAGAAAAACTGAAAAATGCTCAGTATTTAGTAGAAGCACCCTTTTGATCTAATACAGCCATGAGTCTTTTTGGGAAAGATGCAACAAGTTTTTCACACATGGATTTGGGGATCCTCTGCCATTCCCTCTTGCAGATCCACTCCAGTTCTGTCAGGTTGGATGGTAAACGTTGGTGGACAGCCATTTTTAGGTCTCTCCAGAGATGCTCAATTGAGTTTAAGTCAGGGCTCTGGCTGGGCCATTTCACCAGCTCCGGGTAACGTGTTCGGCTGCCGATCTCTGTCTCGATCAGCTTCCTCCTCAGAAACCGGCACAGGAAACCTTTTACCGGCTCCATGTGATTAGCACACAGCACCCATCTGGGACGGAAATCACATGTTGCTCATGTTAGCATCTCTCATATATACTACCGTTCAAAAGTTTGGGATCATTGTTTTTTTTAAAGAAGTCTCTTATGCTCATCCAGGATGCATTTATTTGATCAAAAATAAACAGTAATCTTGCAAAATGTTATTACAATATAAAATAATGGTTTCTATTTTAATATCCTTTAAAATATAATTTATTTCTGTGATGCAAAGCTGAATTTCCATCAGCCATTACTCCAGTATAAAGTGTCACATGATCCTTAAGAAATCATTCTAATATGCTGATTTATTATTAGAATTATCAATGTTGGCAACAGTTACGCTGCCAAATATTTTTTTTGGAAACTGCGTGTTCCTACTTAAGTATAAAAAAAAAAAAATTATACTAACCACAAACATTTGAACAATCATGTATTTATGAAAAAAAATATGAAAGGCAGACTCACCATCGCTGGTATTTGCAGTTAAGCAGGCCGTTGAAGATCTCTCCCAGTGAGCTGACGTGATGAAGGTTGTCCAGAATGAGCACAAGAGGGGCTTCAGTCTCCTGCACGTCAGTGCTGCGCTTCTCCACTATATTTGATAAGTACTGACGCAACTCCTATAAAATAAATGTATACATCTTTACTTTCTAATGTACAAGGATTTCTAGACTTTGGCTCATATCTTTTATCATTTTGGAGATAAAAAACTTCGTTTCTAAAGGCAAAAAATGAATTTTCCTTGCTCTTTTGACATAAATGTTACATAAAATAGAGTTTAAAAGATGTAGAGCTGATACAAACAACTTGGCTCACAAACTAAGGAAAAGAGATCAATTCTCACCTTGCTGGATTTATGGTCGACATTGAAGGTGACGATGTTGCTCTCACTGGGCAGTTTGCCCTCTCGCAGCGCCACATGCTCTGCCAGTCTGTGGGCCAGGTAGGATTTTCCAGTACCGCTGGGGCCTGAAAGGATGATCCTGCGATGTTCCTGGAGCAAAGACACGTAACGCTGGAGCATGGGTTTGGGAATCAATGTCTCGAAGACCAGAGAATCCTCGGACTGAGAGTTCACACCTGAAATGAGAGAAACATAAACAATGTTAACAACTACAGAAACATGGAGCAATTAGGACAAATAATGATAACAAATGAAACTTTTGTTGATTGTGTGAACCTTTCAGTGAGATGTTGATTGTGTCATTCTCTCCCACGAGGTATCCACAAGGCAGGAGTTCAGGTGTGTGTGCTCCGCTGGACCGGATCACGTCTCCAATACGATAACCCTCCACAGTGTCTGAACCCAGACCCAGATGACTGACCGGATCAACATGCCTGATGTACTCCTACAGAGAGACGATCATGTAATCAAATCCAACAGGTCTCCACTAACTTTTAAATGTACTAAAATATACATATTTATGTATATTTAAAAAAAACATTTAAATAGTAAAATACATTTATAAAGTACTATTGTAAGTGTAATAACGGTAGTATCTGTTGAAGGTCTTCGAACAACACGAGGGTGAGTAATTAATTCACCCAAAAATGAAATTGTGTCATTAATTACTCACCCTCGTGTTGTTCGAAGACCTTTGTTCATCTTACTACCACGTTCAAGGTCCAGAAAAGTACCAAGATGATCGACAAAGTAGTCCGTGTGACATCAGTGGTTCAACTGTAAAGTTACGAAGCTACGAGAATCTGGGTCAGCGCCGCCACAAGCTCGCGCCATGTGACTGTCGTGAACGCGCGTCCAAAGTGACGCAGTAGAGACGAAAATGTGGAATAAAGTCGTTATTTTTGTTTTCTTTGCACAAAAAAGTATTCTCGTAGCTTCGTAACTTCACAGTTGAACCACTGATGTCACACGGACTACTTTGTCGATCATCTTGGTACTTTTCTGGACCTTGAACGTGGTAGTTACCTTGCTGTCTCTGGGAGGGTCAGAGAGCCCTCATATTTCATCAAAAATATCTTAAATTGTGTTCCGAAGATGAACGAAGGTCTTACGGGTTTCGAATAATAATATAGAATAAGAAATTAATGACAGAATTTTCATTTTTTGTTGAACTAACCCTTTAATATAAAAATACCGTGTATTCACAAAAACAGCTTCATTTTAATTAAGCAAAATGTAATTTCTTTCCTTCTTTTTTTATTTGCTTTTGGAGTAAAATATGACCTGAGCATTGTTTCATGAGATTCATCTGTCTTACATGTTGCTTTCATGTGGTTGGATAATACTGTGTGTTGATATCACATCTTTCAGAAATTAAACTAGAGCACTTTTCGCAAACCACTTCATGTTAAATGCCTCAGTGAAAAAGTCTTTCTGAAGTATATAGAGACTAAGCACCCCCCAAAAAATAATTCATTAAAATATTTTAATGAACCACTGTCTAATGTTTCTGAATGTAAACCACTCGTCGTCAACAAAAAGGTTACAGCGATGCATGTAAATGAATGTACCTTAAACAAGCGCCGTACAACTCCATCCAGAACATCCCACTTGGTTTTTCCACTGACACCAATGCAGCCAATCAGGTAGTCTCGAGTCCTGCAGTCCTGTGGGAGACAGAAGACAAATCATTAAAACAAAACTCTCTCAAATGGGGCATTTTTTAAAAATCTTCCTGCAAAAAAGGCGGGAGAACTGACCTCTTTCCACGTGACGTCCTCTTGAAGACTGACAACTATTTTCACGTGTCTGCTCTCTTTACGAGAGCTTCCATCTCCACCAGAGTCATCCAACAACATGTCTGAAAGAAGACAGACTAGATCTTTAATGTGCTTTTATGATTTTTTTTTCTCGCATACAGCTACAAAACAACCTTTAGGGAAAAATAACACAAAAAACAAACACGTATGCTCATACCGAAGCTGGTGGACTCTGTGAGGTTGAGACTGTGTTCAGACAGGCCAGGCGTTTGGGTCGAGGTGGGGTTATAGACAGACACTTGAGAAGACGCCCTGCTCCCACTCGCTTGGCCTTCCAACTTAAGGCAATCATTTTCTGCCTTTAACTTCTCGATCTCCATCTAGCAGACCACCCACACAGTGATAAAATATGTAACATTCCTCTTTTCTACTAAAAAATAGTGAAAAACACTGTTGCAAAATAGATAATTGATCCAATAAATCTGATTTGTGGGACTCCAAGAAGGTAACGTAAAGGTCAATCTCACACCTGCATGCGGTTCATAGCCTCCCGCAGCTGGTCCAGCTGGTGGGCGGAGCTTAGGGCTTCCAGTCGAATGTCCGTCAACTTCATCTCCTTCTCTCGGAGCTCGTTACGCAGCTGCATCACAGTCTCCGCCTCCCCATCCAGACAGTCTGACAGTCTACATGACAACATACATGTTGTTAGATGAAAAGAGCACGTAGATTAAAAAAAGAGAACGTTTATATATTATTTTTTCATTTCAGTTTACATTTATTTTATTTCAAGTAACATTTTTGATGGTTTTAGTTAACTACAATAACCCTGATTTATTTTTATTCAAGGTTTAGCATTAGTTTTAATTTATTTCCAGTTTGTAATTTCAGTTCTTCAACCTAAATTAATTCCAATTATGTGCCACAGTTTTTTATATTTTATTTAAGATGTGATGTGATGTGATGTGTTGTTATTCAGGTCCAGAGCTGTTATATAACACAAACACACTCACATTGAGCTGGAGTGTGTGTTGCGGAGCAGCAGTGCCGAGGTGCTGGTGCCGTTGTGAGGGAGTTTGGGAGAGGAAGGGAGAGAGGAATCCGTCATCTCCTCAATGTCTGAGTGGGACGAGGCTGATTTAGGTGATTTCTTCTTACTGAAGGCCTGTTTGAAGGAGCTCCGCAGCTTCAACGACAACAGAGAAACCAGGGAGAAGATAATTAAGCTGAGAGTTCCTGAAAAATGATTAGGTTACGCAGCAATAAAATATGTGCAGGAGAAGCAATACAGTGAAGACAGAGGAGTAAAACCTCAAGTGAAAGAAAGAAGGGAAAAACAGCACAAAATAAAAAGGCAGCCTTTTTTATGCATAGGCTTGAATGTTTTGAGAACTGTTTACATCTATTTGTCTATAGTTGCAAAACCAAGAAATTAATTATCAATAAGTTTAAAACAAAAAACGAAAATAAAAAAAATTGAAATAAAGAATATATATTTAAATAAAAATAAAATAATAATAAAAGTTCATAATAAAGAAAAAAAAAAATAATAATAATAAGTTCACAATTGTAGCTTAAAATAAAAAAATCTAAATAAGGAAGTTCATAATCAAGAAGTTTAAAATAAAAAAAATGCAAAAGTTCAAAATGAAGTTTATAATCAAGAAATGTAAAAAAAAATTGCAAAATTCAAAATGAAGTTTAGAATCAAAATGTTTATAATCAAGAAATGTAAAACCAAGTTTAAAATAAAAATTAAAAACAAATAAGAAAGTTCAAAATCAATAAATTGATAATAAAGAAGTTCAACATTGAGGAATTGATAATCAGTGCATTCAAAATCAAGAACTCAAAGCCAGGAAGTTCACAATCAAGATCTCAATATAAAATCAATAATTCAAACATCAGGAACTCATGATTCCAAGGAACATTTTTGCAGACTTCGCTGTCCTATGCGACACTATACACTAAAATAAATATCAGCTTAATTGTATAAATAAATATAATGACTCACTATGAGACATCATTTCAAATAGGAAGGGAAGAGAAGAAAAAAGAAGGGAAAGGGGGTCAGAAGGACAGTGTAAAGGTGAGAAAGACAGCAGGCTGAGGAGCAGTACATCTAAGGGTTAGCAGGGTTAGTGGTGTGATGCGGAGTGGAGCTGGGTTAACCAAAGACAGGTGTGCAGGATTCTCTGAACACACACTCTTACCTCATACACCTGCCATATGAAGCGACAGCACAGCGAAAAACAGAGAGACACACAGAAAAGCACATTCAGCCGTGTGTTTGTGTCCTGCACAGGGGTCTGAAGCACAAGCTGCATGTCTACCACTAAATCTGCAGGAAGAACTACTAAGTTGAGAGAGTCTCGCTAAACTACATTTCACTTAACGACCTCCCAAGACCAACACAAACCCAGGACCAATGCATACGCAATAACACAAATCGACTGCAGGAATAGGGACCTAGTTAAGCTGGTGGTTACCATTCTCCAAAACACTAGATGGCCAGCGGGACCACCAGGCTAAAATGACCTGTTTTTTGCTAAAAGTACAGTGACGCACCTACAAAGCTAAATAACTTAAACACAACTAAACTCATCTAAGAATAATTGCTAACTAGAAAACACCACAAACTGGGACACTAAACAACAACTCAAACTCTTGGTGTACATTGTCATTCATAAGTTTAAGGTTGCTAAGAATTTTTTTGAGGAAGTCTCTTATGCTCACCAATGCTGCATTTATTTGATCAAAAGCACAGTAAAAACAGTATTATAGTGAAAAAGTATTACAATTTCAAATAACTCTTTTCTATTTTATTATATTTTAAAATGTAATATATTCCTGTGATGTTAAAGCTGAATTTCCATCATTACTCCAGTCTTCAGTGTCACATGATCTTTCAGAAATCATTCTAATATCCTGATTTGCTGCATAAGAATTCATACATAATTCATGCATAAGATTTTTTTTTTTAACAATGTAAATGTCTTTCCTGTCTCTTTTAATCAATTTCATCATGTATACATTTTTTAATTTCTTTCGAAAACAAGGGGAAAAAAATCTTACCAACCCCAAACTTTTGAACAGTATTGTATATAAATCAACAAGGACTGCTGGCCTATCAATGTTACACTTGACTAAATATAACAGGGTGACTTGTCATGATACTTTAACATACGTATTCATATTCATATTCATCATCTGACACGTCAACTCCAGCACAGGTCACCAGCTACAGCCATAGCATGATACAGCGAAACAGGAAGTACAATATTAAACTCTATATGTATGGTAAACTAACTTACACTACAAAAAGGCAGGTCCTTAATTTTTTGCATTTAATACTGTTTTCATGAAAAGTATAAAAGTAAATATCACACTAGATGTTTGTTAGTAGTATTTAATCATTTTTAAAGTTTTAGCAACTTCAGACAAAAACAGAAAAGACAAACATTAGACAAATAAAATGCAGAATGAAGAAACACACAGGTTTGCAACGGTTAAACATTTCTTTAAAGGGATAGTTCACCCAGAAATGACAATTCTGTCAAATCATTTACTCAGCCTCAAGTTGTTCCAAACCTGTATGAGTTTCTTTCTTCTGTTGAAAATAAAAGAAGATATTTTGAAGAATATGGGTAACCAAACTACTGATGCTCCCCACTGACTTCCATAGTATAGATGGGGACTGGAAACTGCTCTGCAATCAACATTCTTCAAAATATCTTCTTATGTATTCAGCAGAAGAAAGAAACTCATACAGGTTTGCAACAACATGAGAGTGAGTAAATGATGACAGAATTGTCATTTTTGGGTGAACCATCTCTTTAACTGTTGATGAGAGGAGTGTGTACTCACCCAGTTCTTCTTCTTCTTCTTACTGTTGGAGTCGGGGTTGTCCATGCTGGAGCCCAGGCTGGAGTGGCTGGTGGCGCTGGTGATGCTGGAGACGCTGTCAGATGAGTGCTGTCTGCGCATGCGCAGGTCTGGCTGCGCTCCATTATTACCTGATAAACAGAGAGAGCTTTTAATTGACATCAAGCATGCCATTTAGTGTTCAAACTGCAAAACTAAACAATACAGTACAATACATCAACCAATCAGAACACAACAATGTCTGAGGAGTATATACAGAATGCTCAAAATACATAATTGTATTAAAACAGAAATGTAATCACGTTAAAGGAAAAGATGTCAGATGTCAAATGTCAGAGATTTCAAATATGAAGTCAAATTTTAAAAAGAATGATTATTTTCTTTTGCTCACCTGTGCGTTCACTCTTGCAGGTGAGTTCTGGAGTATTGATGACGCCGTTGATGGCCGCTTGAGCCACTGCGTTTTGCTTCTTTAGCAGCTTGATGGTTTTCCTCAACTCATTCAGCTCAGAGTCCTAACATACACATATATATGTATTGACAATGCATATATAAAATCATGTTCTGTTTAAGTTTATTAATGAACAAATGTGATAAATTCAAATGCAAGCGTGTTGATATTTACCTTCTGTTCTGCGGTCATGGAGATGCTCTTCAGTCGGATGGTCATGTTGCCCAAACTCTGCTCAAACGCTGCCACAAGGTGGGCCTGAAAAGAAGAACAGCTAAAATGAGGAAAGAGGGTTCATTCAAGTTCAAAATGACATTTTTTGCATGCATGCATCATAGCTGCACCATAATACACTATGCACACGATACACAGACATTGTGCAATCTACCTTCAAGGTGGTTAAATTAAATGTCTAAGCAAAGCTTTCTCCTTGAGATGAAAAGAGGAGTCACAAATGCACTCGTTCAAAGCTGCATGAACTGCATTACCTGTGTGAGAGCTGCCTGGTTATTAAAATGTTCAACTGAAGCAGCAAAGCTTAAAATTATTAATAACACTCTTTACCTTTAAACAAACACTTTGACGTGCAATCTAAACTTTGGCCCATATCCCAGACTGGCATGCGACAACAGAAACCTAATTTACCCTCTCATTACAGCTTGCCTCTCCTTCTAAATCTAATCTTCCCCATAGGAATGAAAACAATTACAAATGATCTCTTAAAGATCTCAAGTGTTTCTCCCAGACTGCAATGAGGATAAATGGAGATCAACTGGAGACTTTTGTTTAAGTCTCTTGATTGTCAGACTTGTCTAAAACCTGTCTAAAACCTGAATATTTACAAATGCATCCTCTAAAAGCCAGAGATTTCAAACATGAAATCAAACTCTATTCTATCAATATATTCTTTCCTATCAAATTCTTCTACAAACAAATTTTCTGAATGTAACCTTTTCTTTTTATATACGAACAATTGTCTCATTTGTTTGTTTTATTTCTCGTGAGATATTTTAAAGAAAATATGAGAGTCAAAGTTAAAACTTTCAAAGCTAATATTCCTAAACTCCACTAAACATACAATTTTCTTCTGGGTCATCGCCTCACCTCACATCCAAGAGGGTCTGGGGAGCTGTCAGTTGTCTCCGTAAAGCCTCCCTGTCTATATTTTTCTTTCTGAGAGGGAGCGTGTTTCTCTGAGCACCCATGGGAAGGGTAGCGGTTCAAAGGGAGCCAGATCAGAGGGCCGGTCCCGTCAGAACAAGCACTAGAGCTCTTCTGCTGTTCCATAGATAGCTCAGATTCTGATAACTAAACTACAGCGATATATTAAGAAGCTGCAAAGCTCCTCCTAACACTGATAACTGAGACAGACAAAGCAATGAGGCCGCCTGGGGCCTTGACATGTTTTACTGGTGTCTCAAGGGCCCCGTTGTGTGTTTTTTTTACCATTCTTTTTCTTTCTATTTGGATATTTCTCACTGTTCTGTAGCTGAACACCCACTAAAGTCTTTTGTCTGCATATCAAATCAAAACAATGTTCTATATACATCTTACTCACAAAAATAATCCTTCACCTCATTCCCTGCCAGTCAAAAACTGACATTGTTCTCAACAAGTTGACAAGTTCATGGTGTACTACATTATGTCAGAAACCATTACGCACAAGCCTGAAATAGAAGAAATGACAACAATACAGCAAAAATAGAAAATCTTGTCTTATTATTACACATTTAAACTCCTCTTTTGTTAGTATCTCTAAAAAAATCTTGTCTGGTTTGTACTTACAAGACAAGATTCCTATGCCTTAGGCATAACAGACATGTCTTTATGATTTACACATGCATTTATCTTTAGGAGGACATATCAAAAACACTGAACATGGTCTGTACTCGCCTTTGTCTAGAGCCATAAAACATCAAATCAAACACAGCCATGTTTCTCTGGTGGAAATGTCATGGATCTTCTGCATAGTCTCACAGTATACTATAATTTAGTCTAGTATGTTATATATTTTAAATATACAGTGGACCCCAATAATACTAAATTTTTTTATAATTGTGACTTAATTGTGATCTCACATCACAATTATGAGAAATAAAGTCACAACTGTGAGATAAAACTTGTGACTTTTTCTGTTGTACGTTACTTTCTAATAATTTCTAAAAAATTGCGAATTTTATACCTCAAAATTGCGACTATTTCTCACAAATGTAATTTTACATCTTTCAGTTGTGACTTTCTGATAATTGCGACTTTTTTTCTGACGATTGCGACTACCATATCTACCAATATGACTTTATATATCACAATAGTGTCTGCTTCTGATAATTGTGACTTTTAAACTTTACATCAAAACTGTGACTATTTCTAACAAAAGTAGTTTTATCTCACAAAATGACAAACAATAAAATATAATGAACTTCTTGGCATAATTGTGACCTTTATACCTCAAAATTGCGACTACTTCTCACAGTTTTAATTTTATATCTCACAGTTTGACTATTTTTCTGATAACTGACTTTTTTCTTAAAATGACAACTTTTACAGCATATCTCAAACTTGCGACAATTTCTCACAAATGTCATTTCGTATCTCACAATATAGCATTATATTTCACAATTGTCACTTTTTTTTCTCAATTTCAACTTTATACCTCAAAATTGTGACTACTACTTGCATTTGCTACTTCATTTTACAATTATAACTGTACATCTCACATTATGACTATTTCTCATAAATGTAATCTTATTACATTTATTACTTATGTACGTATTACTTATATTACTTATTTATTACTTATTACTCATTTTAGAGCAATCTCTAAAAGCTAAAAACAAGTTTTTTTTTTTTTTACCTAACAGGTTTAACTACATGGGTAAGTACATGGTAAGTGTAGGAAAATTACTTATTTATTACTTATTACTCATTTTAGAGCAATCTCTAAAAGCTAAAAACAAGTTTATTTTTTTTTTACCTAACAGGTTTAACTACATGGGTAAGTACATGGTAAGTGTAGGAAAAAGTTTTACAATAACAAGTGTTGCCTAAGACGTAGTGCTATTGTATGGTCAGATAATGACAAATGGAAACTCCAATGAGGTCATGATCAACGCTGACATTAATCAAATACACAACCCACACAGGCGTCACTGGGATTATGATAACACCATTTATAAGATGCCTCAGGATGACAACTGACACTAGATACAGAATTGGGAATTATTTATACCCTGTAGATATAATAAAAGAATAAAGAGCCATCTCAGAACTATGCATCTGTGTCCACCTACATTAGCACTGAGTTGCGTTGTCAGGGCGGACACCTTTTCCTGGGAGGCGTCCAGTTCTCGACGCAGCTTGCGGATCTGGAGAGAAAAGAGGAAGAAAAAAACACAGATGAAAAGAAGAGAAAAAGGAGGCACACAAGGGCAAGAGAACTTTGTGATTTGGTATCAAAGGGGGGAAACAGTTTGCAGGTGTATGTACAGAATAGAGGTGTGTTGCACAGGTGGATGTGAAGATCACAGAGATGTGCGGCGAAATGAGAGCCGACCGTGAATCCGCCCACAGTTTGTGTTCACAACAGGTGGTGAATAAATAAGCTACAGGTGACAGCAATGCGGTTCACAGGTATGTGGGGGGCCCATGTGTGTGTTGTTTTTACGAAAGAAAAAACATGTCCTCACCTCTGACTGTGATTTCTCCTCCGTCTGTTAAAATAAAAAGACAGTAGTTACTGGCACATTTAAACAGCGTATTTGCACAGCTTTTCTCGTTTAACAGTTGAAAAATGAGCTGCATTCTCTCCTGAGGGTATAAAATGAACACCAGAGACAGCGACACACACCTGAAAGTGAACAGAACGCTAACCCTAAATCTCTAGAGAGGGACTTTTCCTTTTCCTATGATTTATGAGCTCATCTCTACTGGTACACTAGCAGATACACAGGAAGTTGGACACATTCAAATATCACCGAACACATCGATTTGCGGGGAAGTTGGTAACTAGACAATGGGAATCACCCAGAAGCACTTTAATGATACCGACATAAACATATACGTAAAAAAGCCTAGTTTAAATACACAAGTGTGAGAGCACTAGTAAAGATGCTTCTTTTTACCAATTTAATACAAATATTTCTTTTGATTTTATAATGTATTATCAGCATAATAATCTGAGTGAAAAACTGAATAAAAAAAATACAGTTTGTGTAATTACAGATTCAGTGGAACGAAGAACATCTGACCTTTTGTTCAAAAAAAGTCACAAATTAGCTTATTTGAATAGTGATCTAGAAATAATGTCCAGTATTAAATATTTCTGATTCATATTATATCATAACGTTTCTTTGTTCTACATTTTTTTAGATTTTAAATCATATTTTGAATTCACCTTTTGAAATCTTCGGGTGAATAAGCATGCTTGCTGACAACTGAATGCTCTAGACAACAATAGCATACTAGAGCTCTTTGTATGTCGTCTGGCAAACATGCATGTAATGACACCCACTATAATGATTTTCTTTGCCGTTGACACCTGTCCAAGAGACTGACAGTGTCATTAAAATAGCAGCATTGTCTGTCCGTCACAGCATCACATGACATGTGGGACAAACCCAGATGCGTCTAGCTGGTTTCGGTTTAATCAAGTCTTGCTTTTTGTAAATGTGTCTGATCATACAGACTCAACATGGTGACTTTGTCAACGCAACTCTGATCAGAAGAGCTTTGTTTGAAATCTCTGAGCTTTTGTTGTCTTTGAGACTGAAGATTACCATGCCATTATATCTGTCTTTTGATGAACATTCAGTACTCTGTAGTACAGAATGAATCTGTATTTTCAAAAGCACCACAGAGATTTCATGTTTGCGTCTTAAGAGACACTATGTTTCTGCATGACAGCTGTTACCCACATACACAAACAAACACAGCTTACAGCCTCCAGCTTCAGACAAATCACCTGAATCTGATTTTGGATCTGCATTAATACAGACTGTGGAGTCAATTCTCTATTTAGCTAAGTCTAACAAGATACACTTTCAAGTCAGTACAGACCATTAGTTTCCTATTTACTGGTACTTAGAATGAATGATTTGTAATAATATGTCACGTAAATATATAAATATAGAAGAGGAGCAATCTAAAAACTAAGGTTCCTACCGTGTATCCCCAAGAAGTCACAGCTCTCCCCATAGAGAGAGTCGCCATCATCATGATTTTCCACTCTTTATACTTCAGCAAATCTGATCTCTACCACCTAAGTTCCTGAAATCAACCTCATTTGAACTGAAGACTCACTACACGTGTGCCAGAGTAAGACTGTTGTTAAAACACCTCTGCAGGTAAGTAGAGCCGCCCATCTGGAGGTGTGGCACAGTCCAATTTATCCTATATAATCACTGGCTGAGATTTACACTTGTACACTTAACCTATAATGAAATATATTATAATAAAGCTTAAAATCTATCTATCTATCTATCTATCTGTCTATCTATCTATCTATCTGTCTGTCTGTCTCTATATATTGTACAACTATTTGCGACAGTTTGGTGTTCAGATTGTATCATTTGCAATGTTCATAAATGTTGATATTTATTACGAAAGTGGCTGTACGAATCAAAGAAAATAAAAATAACAATTTAAAAAATTTATTTTTCTTAAAACAGTTTAAAAGGGACTGGACTGAAAACTCACCGTTGAATAGACAGACGAGGCGCTGGACACCAGCGAGAGAGACGATCCATGAACTAAAGAGAGAAACATAAAATTCTAGAAATGAAGGCTTATTCTAGTATGGGACTATTCTTATTTTACTGCATTGGGGTGTAACAGACGGTTGCTAGGCAACTAAACAAAAACCCCAGATTAAAAGTAAGTACATCATATATCACGCAGCAGAGAAAATCAGTGTATTTTAACACTAAATTTACTACTTAATGGAAGTAGTAGATTTTAAAGTACACAGAACAGACTGAATGTTCACTTTTCAAAACACCTAAATGCAACGTTAACCCCCAGCTAACCTACACAGACAAACACACACAGACAAAAGCATCGACCCACACACACTGCGTCTAACAACTAAAACCTCTAATTAAACTTTCACCTGCCCCGACAAGATGTGACTCATCGGAGGTAATAATAACATCAGTCACAGACAGTAACGTTAATCGTGACTGAGAGTTCAGGGGTGTGACTTCAAATCATTTCCCAAACAAATCGCAGACACCAGCCCAACCACAGTCCACCCACGGGTCGCCTGGCACTTCCTCATGATGCCATATCAGCCCTGAGGAAAAGCCAAACGGCTGGCTGGGCGTGATGTGGGCGGGGTTATAGATGTGAGAATGAAAGAGCAGCGACGCTTATAAACTCGGCTGAGGACCACCCAGAAAACCAAAACAGAGATTAATGAGTGTGTGAGACAGAGCGATAGGGTGGATGGTTCAGGGACAGAGAAATTCATTATGTCTTTTACACCTTATTACCTACATGAGTCTGTAACAAACATGGTACTGTGGTACACCATACTTTGAAATACACTGTTACTAAACTATTACCATTTAATTCAAAATGTAAGCATAATTTAATTCTATGTATACCTGGCCAATATAGCACTTTCTGATTACTGATGGTAGTTATTTACTATGGTATTTACAAGATATTTCAAAGGCAGACAGACAGATAGAAAGACAGATAGATAGATACATACATAGATCATAACCGCCAGAGGCTGAGGATATGAAATGTATCTTCTTTACTTCCTGTGTGTGGATCAAGTCCTCTTAAACCTGTTCCCACAATCCCTCTGGGACTTTTACAACACTCATGTTGCAGAGTCACAGAGTTCAGTCCCCTGTCCGTGCCACACATACTGTATCATATTTTGATTCTGAAGAGAACGTACATGGCTTTTAACCTATATTTGGTTTCAGATGTCACAAAAGGCACAGTTGGGTAATACTGGGTTACTGAGTGTCATTTTTACACTTTTCTACAGGGGCCAGTTTATGGCTTAACTGTCTTTGGCAAACAGCTTCCTGTTCTTAAAGGAGAGACTCGTAACAGGTAAACACGTGAACAGGTGGTCTGGGCTGAGTGGAAAATTGGAATGACTTAAAATGTAACATAAAGCTCTATGCACACAATGATTATTCAAAAAGTCGAGGAGAGGAGAACAGAGACTGTTGATTTAGTCAAATGTGTGAATAGACTGAGGATAGACAGATGGGCTTATGCTCGATTCAGTTGTCTGTGAGTTGTATTTCAGCACAGAGTTCAAGCTGACAAGCTGTTGCAGATCTTTACCTTCTTCTTATAAAAGCCTATCTTCTATTGTCTTTAAGAACAAAAATGAGTGAGCTGAACACCTAGACAACATTTTTAAGCATTAAACAGGTGCGACTCTTCCAAAACATAGACAAAAACATCATGCTGCCTTCTAAGATACCTTGTTTTGGCCAAATTATAAAGCACTGCAGTAATCATTTGTGGATGAAGTAATCCCAGAATGCACTGCAATGGAAAAAATTATTCAAGATGGTTTAATACTGGAAAGCATTGCCATAAATACTTCAGCCTTATTATAAAGTGACCATTTCACCCAATATTTCTGTGTGTTATGTATTATTTATGTTTGTTAGCTATTAGCTTAGCAACATGCTAACATCAACTACTGGGAAACTATAATGGAAAATATTGTGGTTTGTACGAGTTGTGCTATTTTGTGTGGCATTCATGCCATTGCAATTTCGAAAACAGTCACTTATGGGGTTCATTTTTCAGTTAGGATACTGACTTAAAAGGTAGCTGACTACACAGATAGTAATCAGAACAGGTATCTCACTTTGTTTCAGAAGAGCTAATGTGGCAGGTTTGAGGATTATGACTGCATGAATGAAATGTAACATTTACAAAGTAGAGAAGAGCATAAATCAATCCACTGTCTCTTGCATTTATTTTTCTCACCTTCCTCGAACCCGTCCCTGAAGGATCCCGACCGGCTCATGGTGCGCGTCTTCTCGTCCAGCGACATGCAGGAGTTGCGCAGACGGGAATCACCATGGCTGTCCAGTGGGTTGTCCTGATTGGTCAGGCTGTTGTTGCGCAGGCTGGCCAGATTAATCTGAGCACCTGTGGTGGGGCTTCCTGTAAATAACACACAATGGCACTTAATCATGTAGGACAAGACAAATAATAATAGTACAAAACCTAATTATTTTTTAAAGCAAAATGCACACTTAGGTAAAGTCTGTTTTTCTATTATTTCTGATATATTGGCATGCAAGTGAAAAGTAACATATTGCGCATTTCAGAAATATTGAGCCAAATCATCTTCACAGACTATTGACAGAAAATGTATTATATCAAGTATTATATATTCACAGTATATGCATTTGCATACCAAGTTGAGCAAAGTTAAATCGCGTTCCGGATGGTGACGTCAAGCTGGAGCCGGTGGAGAAGGGAGAGTTACTGGCTGAGTCCTGCAAACCACCAGCCGAATGTGAGCGCAGCCAATCACGTGCCTCTTCCTGACGCAGATGTGGTGAAGGGGCGTACCTGCAACAACAGGACCATCCAATCAGATGCCGGCATTCAAATGTCACAAATATTGTGATCTGACACCTGACCAATTTGAGAGGAAATAAAGTCATTTTAGTACATATAAAGTAATCTTATTTATTCTAATTTTAATGTTTTTTTCTGATATTTCTAATATTATAGTATTTTATTTTAAATATGACATATTGACACTACTGTTCAAAAGTCTATTTGAAAGATATGAACACTAATATTCAGCAAGGAAACATTAAATCGATCAAAAGTGACATTAAAACATTTATAAGATTATAAGGTTAAAATTAAAAGATTAAAATCTTTCTATTCATCAAATAGGCTAATCCTGAATTTTTTTTTTATCATGGCTACCACAAACATATTAATCAGTGTTTAACTGTTTTCAACATTAATAATAAGACATGTTTCTTGAGCACCAAATCAGGATATTAGAATGATTTCTGAAGGATCATGTGACACTGAAGACTGGAGTAATGCTGCTGAAAATTCAGCTTTACCATCAGGAATAAATTATTTCTTTAATTTTCTTTAATAAATTACAATATCTTAAAATATATTAAAACATAAAACAGTTATCTTAAATTGTAATAATGTTTCAGAATATTACTGTTTTTACTGTATTGTTTATATATAAAAAAATCAGCCATGGTGAGCATAAGAGACTTTTTAAACATTTAAAATATTTTTTAAAATCTCACCGACCCCAAACTTGGTCGAATGGTAGAGCATATGAAAATATATTTAGATTTTAGATTTTAGGACATCTATTACTAACATTAATGATATATATAATAATATGGATTATATATATATTGCATTTACAAAAAAACAAAAAACAAATAAATATTAATGTTCATAATGTGAATAATTATTTAAAATTCATCACTAACTTGCAATAGCATGAGTGTAAAAGGAATTACAAATAAAAGTTTGGGTACAAGTTTGAAATGCTCACACACTGCAGACTGCAAAAAAATAAATAAATAAAACTGTGGGAAGAACAACAGACATTTCCAAAAAAGCTGCTAATTCACATACAGTACTCCATAATGTGAAACAAACTCTCTACAAAAGTGACAAGTGCCATGCACTCACACCAAAACTGCAACAGAAAATATTTTTAAAAATCTCACCGACCCCAAACTTGGTCGAATGGTAGAGCATATGAAAATATATTTATATTTTAGATTTTAGGACATCTATTACTAACATTAATGATATATATAATAATATGGATTATATATATATTACATTTACAAAAAAACAAAAAACAAATAAATATTAATGTTCATAATGTGAATAATTATTTAAAATTCATCACTAACTTGCAATAGCATGAGTGTAAAAGGAATTACAAATAAAAGTTTGGGTACAAGTTTGAAATGCTCACACACTGCAGACTGCAAAAAAATAAATAAATAAAACTGTGGGAAGAACAACAGACATTTCCAAAAAAGCTGCTAATTCACATACAGTACTCCATAATGTGAAACAAACTCTCTACAAAAGTGACAAGTGCCATGCACTCACACCAAAACTGCAACAGAAAACAGTGCTCAAAAATAAAACTGTGGCCACACTGCATATTAAAACATAGAAGCATGTGCGAGAGAAAAAGAGATAGAATAGAAAGAAGGAGAACGTGAGTGCCAGTACAGTAAGCACAGTGAGCAGGATCTGCACATTCCCACAATGCACCTGTACTTGAGTCCCCGCTTGGGAAGCGTGTTTCTATCACTGCAGGAATCACTGAGAGATGGAACATGTAGAGCTTACTCAATCATAAGGGGTTAGTCCAGACAGATAATAAGGTTTAATTTAATTATAATTGCAAGGTGATTATCATTTGATCTGTCCTTTGACTCATCTAGAACTCATAAGAGTCTTGATCTGTGCCGTCACATTAATTATAAAGCCAACAAACCATCATTGTAATCAAAGCTCTGGCTTTGATTGAGGAAAGTTATGAATTTTACCACTAGGTGTCGCTAGAGTAGATTTGTTTTGGTCAATTTTTCCAAAAAAAGAAAGTAGTTCGCTATCATATAAATGGCCTCAAAACTAAGAGACATGGACTAAAAGCAACTAAACCCCAATTTTGAATGCATGGGGTCTTTAAAACTATAAAATTGCGCAAACACAAGACACAAAGCCATGTCAGTATTAAAAAGCAGCACCGGCGGACCCAAAAGCTATCAGACATTTTACCTGTCTTGATTCCGTGGCAATGTGTTACGGCTGAATTTAGGACTCGCAGAGGGAGAGGAGAGGGGACTTGGGGAAAGTAGACGGGAGAGGAGAGGGTTGATAGACAAAAAGAGCATTGGAGAAGAGATGAATACAGAATTAGAGACACCGATACCGTTCAAAGAGGCTTCCACACTGCAGTATCATGTTCTTCAACCTGATAAAGTGTGTTAAGTAAGTTATTCTGAGCACTGTGATAGAATGGTGCAATTTAAATTTGTAAACCTAAAGTTTATCCATCAATCCGGTTTTTCAACAAACACCAACTGACTTTAGTACATGTATAAACTAAATTAAAATCAGAATTCTGTTTTGGATTCCGATTCAGAATGCTTCTTCTTGTAGATTATATAATGTAGGTACAAAGTTTTTTTTATAGTTTTCCACCTTCTTTTTCTATATTTATCTTGAATTATTGCAAAATTCTGGAATGAAATTTAGGGAATTCACAGCATTTTAAATGTGGTTACCGTCAATCCCAAAACTTTGCAATGTGTACTTAGATATTCAGAATAAAATAAATACAAAATTCCATTAAAAAACAAAACAAAACTTGAATTTAAAATTAGAACTATAAATTAAAATATAAACATCAAATAACAGAATCTGAGTTGAAACTGTGTTGTATTGTAAACTAAAACTAAAACACATTTTCTGAAATAAAAAATAAAGCAAAATAGAAATAATTACATGAAAACTAACCCTTAAAAAATAATGAAAATTAGAAATGCTGCCTTAGCAACTACCTGAAATACATGTTTAAGTACTAACATTTCTAAAACTAAAAATACTTAAAAAGTTAAATAAAATAAATAACAAATAAATAAAAACTTGAAAAAGTTAAATATAAGAGACAAAAGCACATAAAAATACTAAAACTTAGACTAAAACGAAAGCCTACAAATAAAAGCTAATTAAAAACATTAATACATATTATAATAGTATAAAAATAATACTAAAATAACACTGAATCGAAATTGGTTTCCTGATTTGCGATGTGATTTAATTAAAATGTGTAAACCTAAAGTCTTTAGGTGTTTTAAAAAACACCAAATAACTTATGAACTGAATAGGCATTCCAAATCAGAATCTGAATCAAAATCTGAATTCTAGTTTGAGTTTACTGTAGATTCCAATTCAGAATTATGATTATGACTCTGCGGCTATCATGTCTCTTCTGCTATGGCCATCACCATGTGAGTGTGAGTTCAGGAGTGACTCCTGTATTCCATGGACATAGGAAAAATCATTTAGGAGATTCAGTTACCCCAAAGTGAAAATGTTTTTCAGAATCAAGAACTCATTCTAATTCAGAATCAAAATCCAATTCGGATTAGCACTCAAATTCAGAATTATAAATCACAATATTTCAGTGTTAACCCAGACCAGTCTCACAGATAAAAAAGTACAAAGACTCACCTCTCTGACATGCCTGTCTTAGCACTACCCATTCTCATCAGTACCGGGTGAACATCGTCACGGTGATGCCCGCTGCCCACTGACATGTCGATGGACTCGCTGCTGGTGTGCATGCTGCTGACGGAGGGGTAGCCGAGAGCCGAAGAGCTGCTGATGGTGGTGCCCCAAGTCCCAGTGCCCGTTGAGTACATTGAACCAGGGCTCGAAGCTTGTTCGCTGCCCCCTATGCTGGCACCGCGACCCCCGTACAGAGGACTGCTGCTGCCGCTGCCTGGTATTGTGGAGGGGGAGTCCAAGGGCCCACCGGAGGACTGGGTGTGCCCAAGGGTAGCGTGGGGGTTGGAAATGACGACTGAGTTTTTCATGCTCTCTGCAGCGGTGACCGGGGCTTGTTTAGCAGCCTTACCTCCAAAAAGTCTGAGAGATGTAGAAAGAGAAACAGAGAATATAATAAAACTGAACATTCAGTAAATCAGAAAATAATAGCAAAACAGAGAATGAGAAATCATGAGTAAACATAATATCCAGATTCTTTCATTTCTGAATGGGTGGATTCTCAAGGTAGTGTAAAATGGAAGTAAAATGGAAAGGCATTTTAGTTTACACTAAGAAGCTAGTGTACATATACGCTACCGTTCAAAAATGTGAAGTTGGTAAGATTTTTAAAAATGATTTTGAAAGAAGTCTCTTATGCTCACCAATTTGAACAAAAATACAGTAAAATATTAGACATATTTTTAGAGTTTAAAATAACCAATTTTTAGAGTTTAAAATAACCTAATTTTCAATTTTATTATAATTTGAAATGTCATTTATTCCAGTGATAAGAAGGTTGAATTTTCAGCAGCCGTTACTCAAATCTCAAAAAATAATTGTAATATGCTGATATGGTGCTCAAAAAAAAAAAATGTCTTATTACCATTAATGTTGAAAACAGTTGTGCAGCTTAATATTTTTGTGGAAACTATGATAATTTGTATTTAATTTTTTTTTTGTATTCTTTAATGAATAGAAAGTTTAGCACTTATTTTGTATAAAAATTTTTTGCACTTATTTTGCAACATTTTAAATGTCTTTACTGTCACATTTAATCAATGCTGAATAAAAGCATTAGTTTCTTTCATAATAAATAATCTTTCCAAAAAAAATAATGAAAAAAGTGTGATCAAGTATATAACGCAAACATGCAGGACAAGTTAAATACAGAAGTTTAATACAAAGAGTTATGTGTTTTGTTTTGAGCAATATGCATACTAAGTGAGAGTGACGCTTACGAAGTTCTATTTCTCTTTATTTTCAACCTTAAATGTTCACTTTGTCCCTTTTTAACCCCTGAAGCTGAGGACAAAAACATGGTTCTATCCTTAAAAATAGTGGAAAAAGATTAAAAGAGCTTTGCTCATCAATAACACGAGCAGCTCAGAGGGAAACGCGAGCCACCCTGGAGAGTCGTGATCCATAACCGTCATAAAGCAGGTTATGTAAACAGCTTCAGAAAGACCCTAATCATGGAGCTGGAGGAAGTTACAAAAACTCATTCCTTCTTTCACATGTTTGGCTGTGTAAGAGGGGCCTGAGAAGATGAATGGAGCTATTAATTGAGGAAGCGTCAATGGAAACTCTGATTTATGAGGGTGAAATTCTGTGTGTGGTATGTTGCCCCGTGCCTTTTTGTACCTTCGCAATGTTGGAGACGAGACCTCACTATACTTGTTTCCCTGTCTCACTGTCTGTGGAATAGTTGCCGCCCCTCCTCCCGAAACAATCGGATTGGTTCTCAGGTTGTCCATCTCTGAGGCCACGCCCTTCTCTTTGTCCGTCTGATTGGCTTGGATTATGTGCCCGTTGGTTTTAGTGGCAGAATCTTTTGGTTTGCTGGCCGTGACAGCAGTAAGGACAGGTGTTCGGGAACTCAAGCTTGACTCAATGCTGCTAGTGGACGATCGGTTTCCGTTGCGGGCCGTGGCTCCGGAACGAGAGGGTCGAGGTAGACTTCGGTACTGCAGTGTTGAACGAGCACTGGGGGACAGGTAGCCATCCTCCTGAGGAGGCAATAAACCATCCACAGCTCCTTTTAATGACCCTCTCCCACCGACCAGAAGGGCGGAGGACTTGGGAATCTTGCCCAGGGTGGCGGAGCCGCTGGTAATGGTGGCGCCGCTTGCTGTCACCAGAGTGATGCTGGAGGTGGTTACCACATTGGCCGGGCCATGGACGCCGTTGGGCTTCTTGAAACCAAATGTGCTTGTGGGGACTCGGCCTGCGGGTGTTTTCTTGGCTTCGTCTCCGCTGCTTCGACCGGCGTCGGAGGAGGAATGCTGGACGATGTTGGAACTGGGAGACATGCGGCCTTTTTCAGAGACTTTAGCGTCATCTGTTTTACCTATTGGACAAAAGAATGTTTCAGCTGGACGAGTTGATAATGCATAAAACTTGCAGATAAAGTCAACACTGTTTTGTAGGATGTCAATGTGTGATTAAATGAAACTAGGCTGCATGACTTGTAGGAAAAATCGAATTGCTGGGGCTGCTCAGTCTGGTCATTTTTTAATTGTTTATCCATATGACTATACAACAACAAAAATAACAACAATAATAATTGTAATAATTTATACATAATTTATTGAATTATAAATAATTTAATTTGAATAATTTTAAATTATTTATTTATTTAAGAAAAAGTATTTTACAGTCCAACAGATAAAAAAAGTGTGATTGTGATTTAAAGGAAAAAAAAAAAA